TTCATTTAGAGTATTTAGGTTAGAGTCGGAAGGAGGACTTGGCTGAGTTACAATTTGTTAATCGTCATGTGGTTAAAAAAAGTGGTACTGAAAAGTTAACTTTTTGTCTAAAAATGTTGTGTATTACCCTATGCAGGCGTGTGAATCTGAGACAGGAAACCCACTGAACTTAAATTAAAAAAACAGCAAATGACTGTCTTTGCAGTGGGTAGGTTGATGGGCTCATCTGTATAACCCCCGGAAAACAAGAATACAATGGGCGTGGCCAGTTAATAAAAATAATCGACGTTAACACTTTTGGTTTCATTGACTCAAAATGGTATTCGGCTTGAGGAACACAGTGGAAAGATGTCTGATACTTAACAAAAAACCGGAGTCTGAGTAAAGAGAAAAAACAAAAACAAGCAAACAAAAACCCGTTTGTAGTTACTTGTTGTTCCATGTAACTGTTTCAAACTCTGGCTTATTGAAAATGTTATGATTTTGACTTAAGTTTTAAAGACCTCGGTTGATTGATTCGCGAATTTAATTGGAATTTATTTTAAGGTGACAACCAGCAGGGTGAAACTCGGCGACAAAAGAACACTGTCGAAGAAACTTTATCTTCAGAAGCGTGAAATGTGAATTAGAATTGTGAGGCGTGTGCGCCAATGCGTGAAACAAAATACCCGTTGGTAACGGAAACGAAAAGGGTGTTCACGAAGCGTGGGACGTGAAATAGAAACGTGAAATGTAAGTAAAGATGTGTATGACTTGTCGCAATCACAGCGTTATAGCCAGATTTTTTACGTTTTTAGTTTATTTATTCAGTTATTTTTATTATTTCTTCATTTTGTATGTTCACGTCGAAATCGACCGGGTGCCGAAAAACCTTTGGCATGGAGCAAACACAAACAAACATAATGAGGATAAGAATAGATTTTTAGGCAATACCAATTGATTTATCTATACAGCTGTGGATTAGGCCACCGAAACGTAAAACGAGAAACGAATATGGGGACACGAAGCGTGAAAAAACGTGAAGCATGAGACATAAGAAAAATGTGAAGTGCGAATTTATGGGTGAATGACTAGTCGAAATGAGGTCGCACAAAGCATTTAGAATTAAGCGAAACGAAGAAATTTAAAAGTGACGTCTAATTAATGAGTGCAAAAAAAAAAATTGTGGTTCTTTACACTAGCTCCTTCAATGTTCATGACTGAAATTTCAACCGGATAGTTTGCGTTAGCCTGCGAGCACGCTCTCATTTAAGGCGAGCGAAACGATCCGCGTCCGCGAGAGAACACTCGAGCGGCGAAGCACGCGTGTCTCCTTTCGCTGCTCCGAAGAAGTATCGTCTCCCGCCGATTCTAATGCTGGTTTTGATCTTATTTCTGAATCTACCATCGACTCGTTTCTGTTGAATGCTCATATAATAGTATTTGGTCCTCAGACACAAAAGTTAGAACTTCGTACTTAAGGCCTTTTATTTGAATGTTCACCACAGGTACCCCAAGCTCACGAGTGAGAATCGTTGTCGCGTAACAGAAATATTATCAGGGTTTGTATGGGGATTTTAACGATCGTTATTTCGGGCACTAAAATATAAATGAAAATTTAATACATCAAAACTTTTTACCTTGCCTCCTTGTTTTATTTGTCGAAATCGCCTTGAAACGATCAAAAATGCAATGCAACACAAATACAAATAAGACAAGGAGACAAGGTAAGATTTTCTGATGTATTTCCTTGCTATTGTTGACTCCTAATTAACGATCGCTAAAATCCTCATACAAATCCTTACCATATTTTTGTTACGCAACAACGATTCTTGGGGTACCTGTGCGTTCACATCGAAGGGGATTTTGTTCACAGACTCAAAAGTTCAAACTTTATGACATATATATTTCCGTAAAGGACCTCGGACGGGTTTATAGAAAAGTATTTTCCAATTTTGCAAATTATGCTCTTAAATGCTGTGAAATCGTATTAATGGGACTACCTAAAAATGAATGGCGAAGTTTTCCGTAAGAAAAACAACGGAGTGTTTTTACATTGGGGCTGATCATGAAAGAGTTTGGTGGTTATAAAGAAGATAGGCGAAAAAACAGTTTAAATCTTTTGGGAAGCTCAAAAGAGGCTCTGGGCTTATCGATGTGTGCTAATTGCGCCACGAAAGCGCGAAACGTTAAATGAATCGAAACCGTTCTTAAACGTTATGTTAAGCGTGAACCGGAACCGTAAAATAATTCAATCGTGTTTTCGCGTGATTAACCAAACACACCGGGGTAGTGAAGCATTTTAGTCCAGTACAAGGGTCAACCAATGGAAAGCTTTTTCAGTCGTGCGTTGTTTACAGAGCGTGAAGCTTCTAACTGGAGCGAGAAAGCAATTCCAAGAATCCCTTTAAACATTGCTCAGGGTCAATAGTGTCATACGCTATTGTAAGCCTGGTAACAGTTCGAAACTTTTGTTTGATAAAAACAATTGACACAGAAACTTGCACTGAACGCAACTGTCTGTTGTGGCGCTGGAAAATCTGGTCCCTGGCGACGAGTAGTTTGAAAACGGTGAGGTCGCTCTAAATTTGTACGTGGCCACTTCTTTTAGATCCCTCACATTGATTCAAACAGTTTAGAGAAGAATCGTCGCAGCCAGCCTGGCCAAATTTCACTTCCTCTCCACTGAGCGCTTTCGATCGGCGTTGCTTAAGTTCAAAAGAAGGCTGTGCTGTCTTGCAATGACTTCACGTTACAACAAAAAAGGTCAAGGGAACGCTTTATGGTGTTTCTGTACTCTTCCAATTGTATTTTTCCCACTTGTTGTGATATTATTGCTTCACCGGAGCTTTTCTCAAGAGGATTTTATTCAAAAATCGGGATATAAAATGGAGAAAAGAATCTCGCTCAGCCACGATTTGCGTTCGCTGAAAGAGCAAACACTCTTTTTCGAAACATTACTGAATATGACAAAGGCTCCCAACATCCAATCATATCGACTCGAGTCACCCGAGCCCTTAGTTGTTGCCGCCATTAATTCAGGGAAGGAAATGCTACTCGAGCAGACCGGTACTATTGAATTACGTCGACACGAAAATCCTTCGGCACTTGTCGGAGAGGACGAGGTTGTAATCGTCACACCCGAATCCGATCAAGGGAAAAAGCAAGATAAATTAAGTTTCCACTCCGATGATGAGAAAATTTCAGGACATGAGCTTCTTTCGGCCTTTTTTGAACAAGTTGTACCAAATAACATGGCCGGAAAGTTAAACGTTCATACTTGGCAAGGAATTTGTGGTGCGTATGTAGATCAGCTGCGACATTCTCCGTTATTTCCACGTTTCCCTTATGTTCGAAAATTTCTCAGTGACTTCAAATCACAGCAAGAAGGGAGCGACTTCGGACAAAGGATTTTTGGGTTCATTCACCCTGAGAAACGAGGATTTCACGAGTTCGCGATCAGTTCCGATGATACATCGGAGCTTTGGCTGAGCTCCGACAGCAATCCGAAGAAATCCCGACTGATAGCGGCAGTGTATTCTGCAAATGGCGCGGGGTCTACAACACCTTACAATTTTAAGAAATACCCCATTCAAATGTCAAGAAAAATTGCCTTGACACCATCTAAGAAATATTACATCGAAGCTCTTCATAAACAGTCAAATGGCCGAAGCCATATTCAAGTATTTTGGAAAGAACCGGGCTCGGAGACGTTTAAAATAATTCAAGGCAAATATTTGTCGCTTTTCTTGGACGACAGAGATGTGCACGGTGAGGGCGTAGCTGAAGACGTTGATTTCCATGGTTACGCTCCCATGGGAATCCCGAGCCATGCAAAAAGAAACCTTGATGACAACGTTCAGAAATTTCTCTTTAAGTGTTAACCTTTTCATTAGTTTTGTGCTGAAGATCAAAATATGAGGAAAATCAAAAATTTTATATTGCATCATATTAAAATGGATACCCTGGGTGCCAGAGGATTTTAGTGCGCGGTCTTTGCTTTCGGTTAAGTCGGTCAAATCTCCGAAGACCTGTCGGCCTGTGGCCGACGAAACTCCTCGTCGCATGCGAGAAAAAACCTCCGGTACCTAGGGTATGCAATGGAATGTCCTTTTTGAGAATTGGTTGTGGGGGGGGGGGGAGAATAAACGACAAGAGAGGAGGGGAGGTGTGAGGTAGTAGATTTTCCCTTCTGTCCCCTCCCCTAATAAAGGAAAGGAATTTAAAAATTCAAAATTCAGATTTACTTTGGTGAAATCAGCACCTGACAAATAAGTGCTTCTATTGCAGTGACCCATTGTTCTTTTGCGTAGTTTTTACACGGACCCTGGTTACACCGTTGGATTTCGTTCACAAGCTCAAGACGAGGATTAATTAAGGCCAGGGATATCTGACTCAGTTTCATCGCATTGGGTGTTATCGCATGACATCATCATCATCATCATCATCATCATCATCATCAGGGGGATATCAAAAACGTCTTTGTTATCATTAATGTTTATATTTGTTCGAAGCGTGAGTTAGTTATATAATTACCAACAATGTTCTACAGTGATGTTTTAAGTATGTATTTACAAAATCAAACTGTAGCAAGTGAAGAGACCAACCATGACCTAGAATAAACATAATCTGAGATAATAAATGATAATTCTCTGATAATTACTATCTTTTTTCCCAGTTTATTAAATCACAAAGGCGTTTGCTGTAGTTTTGTCTTTAGTTCAACGATCATCCTACTCCGAGGCCCAGACCCTATCGGATGAGTATTTTTCCAGCGGAAACTGGCACTAGTATAGAAGTCGTACGCATAAGCTATTGCATCATTCCGCTGACTAATGGCCACGCTTTGTAAGAGTGAATCGGCGAAATTGATTATCGAGGGTGAGTGAGTGTAGTGCCGCAGTTGCTTTACTGGACAAAAAAGAGCTCTACTTCTTATTCTGCGAAATGTATCGATAGAAGAGAAGAGCGAAAGTTTTAGAGAAAACAAGTGATCTTTCTGAGATCACCGCCTTTTAGTTATGTTGGACTTCAAGCCCCAAAAGGAAATAGTTTACAACCGTTTCCTACCATACAAAGATCAGCTGGATGATGAATCGAACAAGTTTCTTTCGGAGATTAAATATAATCTTGGACGTGCTGTAGTGTTCAAAGAAACAAGCCCAGGAATACTTTACTGGAGTAACAGACTGACAAAGTAAGTTGCTTCGAATGATTCACCAAGTGGTGATCTACTCCACCGTAGTATAGCCGGTGTATTAAAACCGTTAAATTGTAAGCTTAACTTGGTTGAAATTATCTGGGGATCATGTCCAAAGATATAGGGATTTTATGAGGGGTCTCTGGAAATTGGGCTACAAGTAGTTTGAGGATAGTCTTAATTGCTGAATCATGCCTGCAAGCAAGAAATTTTTTTAAAAAAAGAAATGATCAAAAGTGACATCAAGTAAACAAAATGTCAGCCTTTCCCAAGAGGCTTTTTACAGAGGCTTTCTTAGGGTAAAATTCTGAAAGTGACATGGCTTTTAAACAGTGACGTAGGACAGCTAAGAAGGCAACAAGCGATACAACGACTGGTAGAAAATGCGACAGCGACAAACAAAAATGCAAATACAGTGGTAAAAATATTACCAAGGACATGGCTTCCTCCTCAAAACACAAAAAGATTGGATTTTGAATTTCAGACTAGAGACATATGTACCCCCCTAAGAGGTCCTCAGTATAGCAAAAATGAAGGTTCAAATCAGGTTGTGACAGAAACCAGACCTGTTGCCTTCCAGGAATAATGATAACTTTCTCAACGGAATCCTTCACACTCCAAGGGAAATCGATTTAAATCTAAAACACTCAATTTTGGGTTACTGGTAAGTCCATTTTAGTTACCCCCAGTCTTTAAAGTTGAACCATGCTATAAAGAGTTAAAGGCACACCGAAAGCCAGTGGAGAACACATGGCTGGAGCTTGGTGCAGTTTGAACCATATAAGAGTCTTGCTAATCTCCTCTGGATGGGATGGTAATGGGGGAGTTACGGGTATTGTGATGGTGCATTTTAAAAAATTCCAAGTAAAATACACAGTCAAACCTTTATTAAGTGGCCACCCCAGGTACCACAAGTGGCTGCCAAATGGAGGTTGGCTGCTCAATAGAGGTTCATCATAAATTAGCATAGTCTTTACCGGTGTCTATTGGACCATGACCAATCATCACCTCCTCTCTGGGACTGTATTTCCTCATTATACTTTTCAATTCAATTCAGTTTATTTCTCGCAATATTTTAGCTAGTCCTAAGTCACAGCCTTTTTAGCGAGTTGCTTACAGTTACAAATGTTTGTATGTGATTAATTTCAAAGTTTGAGTATGATGGCCAAACGTGAACCATTCAGTTTTCTAGTTATCCACCATCAGGCTAAGTGTATTAAGCGCTTGTTGGTGGGTGACAACATTAGAAGAACTCTTTTCAGGATGGCAGAAAGGTGGTCGTCACCACTTGATAGAGGAGGCAACTTAAATAATAATTATTATAGAGGTTAATTAACATTATTGCTTTTTACAATATTATTTTGTGACTTTGATGTACTGGCTGCTTAACCCTTTAAGCCCTAAGCGTGATTAGCATCAAATTTCTCCTTGTAATTAATATCAATGCTTTGTACAACAGAGTGGTCTGAGAATTATGAACATGATCACACAAGTTGAATTTGCTTGATATTTTATCAACTTCTCCCCACTACTTCTGTTGGAAATGAATAGGGGTAACAAATGAGAATTCAAATTTTGATGTTAGGGTTTAAAGGTTTAAAGAACCAGTTGAGAGAATTTGACAAAAGATCAAAGCACTTTTGCTGTTGAGATCATTACCGTATTTATTTGAATAAGCGCCCAACCTCGAATTTGTGCCCACCTCGAATAAGTGCCCATCCAGAAGGCAGAAAAATTTAATAAGCGCCCAGCCTCAAATAAGCGCCCACCCCACCCCACCCCACCTCTGTCCCCCTCAAACTAAAACTCAAATAAGCGCCCACCCCCTTTCTGGTCCCGTCCACCAAAAAAACCTTAAATAAGTACTAATAAGAGACTTGCACGACGACGGAGTTTTCTTCAGAGTATTTTACAGAAACCTTGCTTTGTTACATCTTCGCGTTTTATTGTTACCATTTATTGTATTGTTGCAAAATTAACATACTACATGTGCTGAAAGTGTGAAAATTTAATAAGCGCCCAGCCTCGAATAAGCGCCCACCTCGAATGAGTGCCCACTCTCAAGGTCCAAAAATTTAATAAGCACCCAGGGCGGTTAATCGAATAAATACGGTATTCTCGTTATTGGGATGTTAGTCACTCTTGAGATTAAAATGGTTAAAAGAGCTTCAACTGACTGTAATGTTACAGGGTTCTCATTAAGTTTTAAAGTAGACAGCTAGGATGTAAAATTAGGTGGCTTGCCAATTGAGTTTTGTGAACAATTTCAGGCTTTCACTCTCTCACTTTACCCTATTTCCCCAAAAAGTAGATGGCTCAAACCTCCAAGTAGCCGTTTTTTTAGCTGGCTGCCAACACTTAATGAGAACCCTGCTGTTATGAAATGAGAAATTGTTGGTATGTTAAGAATCATAAGCATCCAGTATGCTTGTTGACAGTGATACAAGTACATTAATTTAAAATATTATTAGCCCTTAGGTGGAAAAGTAAAAACAACTGTAACTGAAAATTGAGGTGACTGTTTTTGTTTTAATTCTTCAGCTATTTAAAACTGTATGGAAGAAAATTTTCCAAGGAGGACCATCTGAAGTTTGTCCACATCTTTTTTGAGCTGACAACAGCACCTAATTTGGATCCTCAGTATGTCATTGCATTCGGCCATGTCTTAATTCTCCTGCTAAAGTAAGTGGAATGATCCTAGCATACGAGTGTGCCTTACATAGTTTCATTTAGTGAAGATTTGCCATCTCTAACAGTGATTTTGTTACAAATAGTTATGTTCAGTCCTGAGACTCATCTTCAGAAAAATCATGAGTCCTTGTCCAGAACCATCAAGTCCCAGTTTTAAAGCAACGAGCCCCTGGGTCTTTATGTAACCACACAGTTAATCTGAAGACAGACTCCAAATCTCTGTATTACAGTTTACTGACATAAAAATGTCTCTCTCTATTGTCAAGCACAACAAAGACTAAAAAGAAATATGAGTTGTTAAACAACAGCCACAGAAATCACACAAACAGGATATTCTACAAAAACATCTTATGGTCTGATGTTACATCTTGTGGGACACATACCACATTCGCACAAATTAGTTTGCATTTTTGGGAATTTTTATGTATCAGGGATGCTGCACAAAGAAGTAAATGAATGCTTTCATTCCCTAATCAAGGTACAATTTTTACTAAGTGAGAACAATTATTCATGGTATGCATCCTGTTTACGTATGATGTGAAGATCAAGCAATTGATCTGAAGGAAGTAGATGCAGATGTAGATGTTGTTGTGGCTGCTGTCAAAAACTGCCTGTAGATTAATGGTCTGGTTACATCACAGCTAAAGGATTTTCAGTTTTTGAGAACCCACCCTGTTTTGAACTAGGACGCAGTGGTTCTGGACTGACAATCAGTATTTTTCACAAGATGCCGTATTTTTTCGGTTATAAGGTGCAGCATTTTTTCAAAGAAGTTTTGCTTAATCAACCTCGATCTGTTCCAAAATCAGGGTGCATCTTATAGCCAAGTATTTTCATGAAACGAAATGCAAGAATGTCCAATTTTCTTACTTTAAACTGGTATAAAACAAAAAATAGAAAAAATACAAAGTTTAGAGTATTGGTTATTGACTTTACTCGACTTGGTGGTTCTGAAAAGAATCAGGAGGGCTCTGAAAAGAGCCGTTTTAAGTCCCATGACTCACCATAGCTATTTGTAGCAAAATCACTGATTTATTGAGCTAACCAGCTGAAGCAATGTTCCTTAGCATTTCTTGATGTTAAGGATTAAACAGGTTATTTCTTCTATGATCAATTCTTTTAGGAAGCGAGAATTGCTGTCAAGATCTGACCTTGTGTTACCATGGAGACCACTTTATGATCTTGTGGATTTCACATTATATTCCAAATATGAAATTTCCGGACTCAAGAAACATCCCCTGTAAGTGAAATGTTCAGTATGACTTTGAACTTGCATGTACAGAACATGACGGTTAAAACGTATTTAAACAAGGGTGAACTCGGTGCTTGCAAGAATCATTCAAGAATCATTACTATTGATTGACTCACTAAAATTGACATAGTTGTCAGATTTTGGTGCTTGTCAGTTGTCCTTTTAAGCTTGAAAATTAGCTCATTCTATTTGGAAAAAATTAATGCCTATTTGTATTCAAGTTATGAATTTAAATTTAAAGGTGGTTATGACCGTTGATCTTTTTTTATTCATACAGAAAGCTTGAAGAAACAGTCAAGCATGTTGTACGTGTTTCGAGAGTGTAAGTATTAATGTTATAAATGTTGGTGTGTGAGGCTGTACTATTAGAAAATTGAGGGGAGCCCAATGCTTTGAGCTTGTGAAATCCAGGGTACCCAGTGTAGGATTTCTATGAAACAACTAAGATTTCCTAATTGACCTTTTGGAAAAGCAAAAGTAAGACACTGGAGGCCAGAGGGCACTACTTGAGCTCAGACCCATGGTTTAATATAGATGACATTTAAATAAAGACTAAGAGGGCATCAATGATTTTAATTCAAGCAGAATATGGGTTAATGATAGTCGTGCTGGTGCATCAAATCCTAAACATAAACATTCATTGTTGCTTTTGTAAATGAATTGTAACAAAAACAACTTTGGACTTTTGATGTCTGTACAGTGTAATAGGGCTTGCTAAACTGACCAATCATAGTGCACATACAAGCTGAGAGATATAATAATCAATTGTTGCTTTGATATTCAGGTATTTTTCTGAGGAGTCCACCCAAGAAATGCTTGATGAATGGAGACCACTGCTGTGTCCTTATGATGTGACTTTTGGCAAAGCAATGTTTTACTTTTCATTGTTTTTGCCCACCACTTTGCCTCCTGAGAAGCATGACAAAGGTTTTAAGTAGGTAGTCCTTTAAAACAATAGTTTATTTCTGGATTCAAAACACTGATGTAGTAAGATGAGTATTAATAATAATAGAGTAAACCTTTATCACAAAAGCACAGTCACCACTTTACCTAAAAATGAAGATAAGCATCTTGCATGTTTAAATAGCCTTGTAGTTAACAACTTGAGAGTGAGTTCAGTTGTGTTAGACATAGTTTTTTGTTCTCTTGATACTTAACCTTGCAGCCACGTTCAATGGATCTACTGTCGGTATCGATAACTAACCTTATTTTGTAAATACACATACCATGTATATTGAATTAAACTGTCGAGCAATACTTGATGTGTAATATGTCACATAGACTCGAGATTTTTCTTATCATAATGTAAAGCGCATTGTGGACAGAAATGCTCTTAATAAGAACCATTATTATTATTATTACTATTATTATTGTTATTATTATTTAGATAAGAAGGGTAGCACTTGCTCAATTTGAATAAATCTTGTTTCCTTTTTGTAGTTTATTGGATCATGCCTATTTATTTATTGCAGATTGTGGTTTCATGAGTTGTTGGGTATTTGGCAATCATGCACAAACAGTGCTAGGTGGGAAGAGGTAGGACAACTTACCACAAAGCCTTCTCCCTGTTCTTGATAGTTGCTTTAACTGATAACTAAATCCTCCTTAAAAGTGGTTTCTGATATGAGTAGTCATGATAAGTATTATGATGATGATGATGATGATATTTACCATGATGATGATGATGATGATGATGATTATGATGATGATGTTGATGATAATGCTTACCTTATTATAGGAAATTAACGCTCCATGAAATTAACGCGAATCGTTAAAATTCGTGTTAATTTAAGTTGCATTAATTTTGTTGAGCGTTAATTTTGTTGAGCGTTAATTTCCGCGACGTTAATTAAGTGCAGCGTTAATTTCCGAGCTCTTAGTTTCCAGTATTTTAACCCCAATTTTGGAACCTGTCCAGACATTCTTGACACCTGAAAAACATTAACTACAAGCTTTCTTTCTTTCAATTAACCCTTTATTTTTCATCTTTCACAAAAGCTAAGGCGAAGGTTTACAATATTTCGAGTTTATCTTCATCGTTGTCACTGTCAGAAGTGATGTCAGCTCAGTTTTGTTCAGTTTTGAATTTTTTTGCATCCAGTGTTGAAATAAATTTGTTCCAGTTATCACCACCAACTGTGTCTTAATCGCGTTAATTTCCTTTATTATGAAATTCTACCTCCTCTTTCGCGTTAATTTTATTTATTCGAAAGTCGTTTTCCATTAAATTCGCGTTAATTTAAGTCGCGTTAATTTCCAATACCTTAATTTCATGGAGCGTTAATTTCCTATAATAAGGTATGCTGCTTCTGTTGCTACTGCTGATAATGATGATGAAATTGTGCTTCTTTATTGTTATGTACAAACTTCAAAAACAAAAATTCCAAATCATGAAAACAATCTTGAGTACTTCTCTTTGAGGTTTCATTCGATTGGTCATACAATGTATGAAATGAATTTTTCATAGACCAAAAGTTAGAATTGGTCATAACGTACAACATAACAAGCAGTGCCACAAGGAAGTATTGCCGAAGAGGTTTCATGTAATTGGTCACTCTGTAAAATTTCATCCATAGACTCAAAAGCAATAGCAAATAATTATCATAACTTATTTACTGGTATCCATAATTTATTTCATAATTTTTTTTGTTATATTGCTTTTAGTCCTGCCTGAAGTTATTTGCAAGGCTAGCTAAGGACAACATTGGTTTTGTCGATTGGAGTCCATACCTCCCAACTGTAAGTGACTTCCTATATTTATCACAATTTATGGACCTTTTTGGGGGCTGGTCACTTTGTTAACTGTGAGGTTGGGCTGGCCATGTTGAGAAAGCTTAGAAGAATTTCAATCCAAGCCCCCACTTCATCCTTGCTTTTTAGGAATGACCCCCTAAAATTTTACGTAAATTGTAAAAGTGACCCCTAAGATTGGCATTTACCATTTAAAGCTGTTATATTCAATTTCAATTTATGCTTGTTGGTGCCATGTACTACTTTCATGAAATTTATCGAAATGACTCTCCAGGTAACGCTCCATTATCTGAAAGTGACTTTCTAGAACCAATCAAGATTTTCAAAATGACCTTCCCCCCCAGGCAAATGGCCAGCCTCCCCTCACAATGAATAAGCAACCAAACACTTGATCTAATTCCTTTCCAATAGAGACCAAACCCTTAAGCTAATAAATAAAATGTTGTCTTCAGGTGTTTACTAGAATTTTGAGGAACTTTCATCTTCCCATCGGGAGTAATACTCCAGTTACCGCTGTTAAAGATTATTCAAGTATCATCAGCTCTTTTGTTGTTTGGATTGTCAATTCAATGGTAAGTACAATTTGTTAGGTGTCAAAACCACCATGCCCACCTCTATAAAGCTCTGACAAATCCAAGACAGGACTTGAAGAAAATTTGAATTTCATCTTCTTCTTAGGGCTTGTGGCACTCAATAGAGAAGATAAGATACACTGTATAGTATGATGTCACAAAAATGAAATTTGCAAAATTATGGGATTTATTGACTTATTCAGAAAGAACAAGATGAGTACAGCCTCTTTGCAAAAAATCTGTTAATGTAAATTGATGGGAAGATATAAGCACCATTATGTTCTGATAAGCCAATAAAAATCCTTGGAAGATTGGCTCGGATCATAACACTTACGATCAAGGCCTATTTTAGAAGCATTGAAAGTATTTTGAAATGTTTGTGTTTTTTTTTCCCTTAAAACCCTGACAGCATCATTCCAGTCCAGTCCAAGAGCATCTTTGTAAACTGTTCAAAGCTCTGGAATCTTTTTACCATCCATCAAATAATGGACGCTATTCAGTAAGTGACAAGTAAAATCTCTATACATTGTAGTCAGTCTGATAGAAGGTGAGAAATTGGGAAGAAAATATTGATTTGAGGAGCTTGATATCCTACATAGCATTTTTATTATAAGTACCATATTATTTTCAATGTGTCTTGTAATTTAATGTAGAAGAATTTTGTATGTACCATTCAAACAAGTAATTAGTGGTTTGAGATTTTTGTGGTCATGTCCTTCATTTTCATGCATGGTACTGCATAAAAACCAAGAAAATTGACTTTGTGTTAATACCTTACAGTGTATTACTGTTTTTTTCAGGGAAAACTTCAGAGATTTCTTTACAATTTGCCCAAAGAAATGATCAAAAGACTTCACAGGTAACAATATTTAATAACAGGTTTTCCCCGATGCTAAATGTGGTGATTTGCACCTCACTATTAACCCCTGGTCCTTGTGCCCGTTCTTGTTGTGGTTATCAGGTACATGAATGAAATTATATAGCAGGTGGATCTAATCAATAATAATTATTGTACTAGGACTGAATGGAATCCAGTCTGCTTTATAATTTGATAATATGAGTGGTTAAATACCCAGTTTGTTCAGTCAAAGGTACGTGTATCATTACAGGCCACACTTGACAATATAAAGTTCTGTTACATCATAGTTTTGCCCCCTGAATCATCAGAAGAAAAACCATTTTGCCTACTCAAATTATTTTTTTTTCCTAGGGAGAGGTTTCCAAAGAACTCTTGGGAAACTGCAATCCCTGATGAGTCTAAGCTAACAGATGAAGAATTGACAGCATTTGTTGAATGCCTTAAACCTGCGGTTATGTTGGCTGTGTTCAACAAGAGTGGCAGCTTTGATGCAGCTGGAGCTCTCCAGAACCTTGCGTTAATAAAACCTGATGTGGTTCTGCCGACTCTACTGAATAAGTAAGTTGCATTATTTAATTTGAATAAACCCTTCCACGTCTATTACATCTTTTGACTGGGACCAATTAGCAAAAATCCATCGATGCGGCTGAAAAGGACTTAAAAAATTAGTAAAGATGCCTAGTTTGAACATAATTTGTTGAAGACTAACAAGGATATAGCCCCTCAAAGTCACTGAATTTTGCAGTAGTTTGTAAGTTTGTGCCCCCCACCATACAAACATCTATGGAACAATATCTTTGCTTGCTTTTAATGTATCACCTTTGAACTTGGTCAGTGTACCCATTTTAAGTCACTCCCTCCAGCAGTATCAATGGATATATGCTAACTGGTCTTCATCAACACTTAAAGAAAAAGAAACACATGGAATGGTCTATTCTGATGACTTAAACTGTTACCCGGACCTGACATTTTATCTGTTTTTATTACTTTTAAGGTTATATGTTGCTTTGGGAACCTTAACTGAGCCACATCAACTAACTGCAACACTGAACTGTGTGACATCTGTAGCCAGAGCACTTGTCAGACCCGATGCATCATATCCTGCTGGCCGTAGTCATGTTCTTCCTTTACTGCAGCTGGTATTACCAGGAATAGACCCAAATGATTTTCGTAAAGCTTTGGTGAGTACTACTCTCAAGTGGCCAAAGAAATACATGCACTGTGGTCGCTCAGAAGAAGTTAAGAAATTTTTCTAGTCTACCCTTGTATTTATCTAATTCAACAATGCTTCTAGCATAATTATTTTTGTTTATTGAAAAGCACCATCGGTTAAATTAATGTTAATCTGGGTTTGTTTTTCTTTTGTTCAAAAGTATTTTCTCAGATAATTTTGTCCATTCTTTGTAGAGCTCCCAGTCATAAAATTGTAGACAAAGTGAATTAAACTGAATTTGCTTTTTAAGCTTTCATATTGCACCAACCCTGGATTATTTCATCCCAGCATTGAACAACACAGCCCAGAAGTTTTGCAAGTAATATTTTCAGTAAAAGGGGCAACTGGACTTGCTGTACACACTGTAGTTCATCGTTGTAGTTTTCGTCTTTTGCTGACAAAATGATCTCTTTCATTTACTGATGGCCTTTCTTGTCACTTTGCAGGGAACCTTCATGTTCATCTCCACTGTTGTTTGCTTGGTTCCGGTAGTTGACTGTTCTGAGGCTGTTGGAGTGGTGGAAATGACAGAGGTTAAAATGATAACATCTTTCTTACTCTGAGCATGTAGAAACAAGGATTTAACTCAGCAACCATTCTTTCTTTGCTTCCTTGCATCTTTCTTTTAGGATGAAAAAGAGTTATGCCTTGCAACAGCTCAGTTTGAAGACTTTGTATTACAGTTTATGGATAGGTAAGATATGAAAACACACTGTAACAATAATCCACACTATCGTTTAGTATCCCTCTTACAACCACTTTATTATTGCAAGCGAATAAGAAAGATCAAGCTTCTGCACTATGAGAGCAGCAAATACGTCAGTTTGAAAAGTGAATTGTCAAATCCAAACAAATCTTCCTAGTGTTATATTCTTAACAACTGCACTTAAGACTTTCAGAAAGAAAAAGAAACTACCATTGAACCTCTCCACAATGACCACCTTTGGGACAGACGAAAGTGGCCATTATAGAGAGTTTTAAACAAGAGTCAATGTATGGACTCTCCACCAAAAAAGTGGCCATTGTAGAGAAGTGGCCCTCACTGAAGGTTTGACTGTATCCATTGCGCATTAAGTTGAAGTTTGTTTTTTCAGATGTTTTGTCATGATTGAAAATTCATCATTTGAGAACACTTCGGAACTGGACAGTAACACAATGAAAGCTGATCAGCGACACTCTCTAGAGGGCATGATGGGAATGGGTGTCGCCTCAACTTTTCATGCTATTCTTATGCAGAGTTCACCCAAGATCTTCCAGGTGAGGGCATTCGTTAAGAAGCGTTATTCAGTAAATCATGGCAGCTGGGTAGGGTATGATTCACACAGGGATGCAGCTAAGGGAAAGCCAAGCAGGCCTTTATATTTGTCAAGCTGGCTTTTTTACTCAAATACATCTTCAAAGTAATCCCATGTCTTTGTTTTCTTAAACAATTTGAGCAAGTGATAAGGTCTTTTTCAGCTGGTGAAATTAGCCGGTAGCTGGCTCTTATAGACAGACCTGTTCACACGACTAATAACTTCATGTGCGTTGACTGAGTCGCTAAAAACAATAACAGATGTGTTTTTAAAGGCCAATGAAAATAACTTTTTCTTATTCCCCACATTACAGGCCAATCATGTATGCAGTGAGAGTAGTTTAGCCTTAATGAACCTTTTTTAACAGGTATCATGAGCTGAAGGTGGCTTGCTAAAAGAACCACTTTACACCAAAGATGTTAGATAAACCTCTATTTACTCTTAATTTTTTTCATGTTTGTCCTGTAGAGTGCCCTTGATCAGCTGTTTGCGTTTTGTGCCAATAAAGTTCTTGAAACAAAGGTGGCAGGGAAGATGGCAGCTGATATGTGTCGAGCTGCCGCCAGGGTGGGTACATATAAAACCAGTAATGTGTATACTAGTTATTAAAACCGTCTGCTTTCCTTTTTTCTTCACCTCCCCTGTCAATGAAAGGAATTGACAAGACTGTGACTACCCCCCTAATTTTCATCGAGCTGCGGCCAGGATAGTTATACACAAAACCAATAATGGGTATGCCAGTTATTAGATAGCCTGTGTACGGACTCCCCCCCCCCCCCCTCCCTGGGGTGTTTGTACACAGGCCAGTTATTAGATCCATCCACTTGAATCCCTTTCTCTTCACCTCCCCCCTGATGATTAGCAAGTGTGAACCCCCTTAAATTCTGCAAATTTCTGAGGTGGGGCGGCCTTTTTTTTCCACTCAGCAGCAAAAAATATATTAGTAGTTTCTAAACTTTGGTTGTGCGTCATTAATAAATAAATGTCTTATCCCCTCCCTCCCTTGGAAAACTAATTTTTTAGTAGGTGCGAAGAAAGCGAGGATTATTCATTCTAGTATGTTTTCATTTACCTAAATGTATTTTATTTCTATATTTAGACAAACGCGCCGGCTACTCTCAAGAAATTTGTCCCTCATTGTTGTTCGGTCATTGAGCATTTGACGTCTGGTGAGTGATAGACTGTTAGCAACCAACTCTTTCTCTGTAAAATTGTAGCGTTATCACTAACACTAACATTTTTTAATTCTCCTAGTGGAAGGTGTAGCGGAAGAAGAAGAAGTTGATGACCAGTTGTTGTGGAATCTCCAGATTTTGTCCGAGGTAGATCTGAAGAGTAGAGCTCCATGCGATTTACACACGCTATTATAAAATGGGTGTGACTATTGGTATAATGCTGGGGTAGTTCTGTGATTAGCCTGTTCCCACGACGGCGACGGCAACGGCAACGAGAGCGTTAAAAAAAGCAATAGTTCTAGATTAGCAAAGCAACTTTACACGTGCATCACGCTTTTTGTACATTTCTTAGCCGTCACTGCACGACTACGAAGTGAAAATGCCTAATTTCACGTTGAGGAAGTTAACAAGTGAGGACAAAATTTTCTTTCCCCTTATGAACTTGGTCATTGTTCTCTTCACTTTTGAAGAGACGTTTTCGCCGCTGTCGCCGTCCTTTTATCTTAAGGTCCCTCTTCCATTACTTGGCTCTGCGCGCACGCCCCCCACCCCCCCCGCATGCTTACAGGGTCTCTGCTTCTCTCTTTCCGCCCCTTTTCGCTGTCTCTCTTATTCGCTGCTCAGCCAATTTTTTTGGCGATGACTGAGAGCTTGGCACAGGCTATAGGTTATGCTGTGATGGACTAACACCCTTTTTTCTCTCACCTCGACCACTTGAGAACGGTCAAATGACAGAAAGTTATGAAAAATACTGCAAAGCTAGGGTTGGGCACGAAGACCACCAGCGCTGATCGGCATGAGTTGGGTTTCAAAGAAGAAACATCGATCCCGCTTCATTTTTAACAAATATCAGTGTAACTTAATACCCACAGTGGAAAATTTTGCTATGAAACTTGTTGATGGAACTGAATGGGGTCATGTACCCTGACCCCAAATAATACTGAAACAATTGAAAGAATGACGTCATTGTTTTCTGCGACCAATCAGGAGAGACCTTAGGAGCAGCTCCTACACAACTGAGCGAATAAAGTCAGGCTTAATTTTTTGTCTTTCAGGTTGTGCGTTCCAGTGGGTCGCTAGAGTACAAAGATAAGCTCATCACAGCTATTAAAAGTACAATTCATTTGAAATGCAAAGAAGCTGCCACTTTGGGAGCAACGGTTGGTAGCTTTTATCTTTGAAGAACAACAAAATACGTGAATAAATTCTGACTTCCATTTGAAGGTGGTATACAATCAACTCTCTCTGAACAGACACCACTATGAGACGGACACCTCTGTAAAACGGACACCTAGAGTTTGTCCCTGCCTTTCTTTACTCCCTTTTTTGGACTGTCTTTAAGATGGATCACGGTTCATTTCCGGTCGCCGAGTATGAATGTTTATTGACTAGCGTTATCTTGCGTGAAAGCAGATGGTTTTCCTGGCTAATAATCTTTACACCTCTCAAATCGATGGAGTGGCCTGCGTCCTTAGCGTGTTCAGACACAGCAGACTTGAAATCGCAGGTGTACGTTTTAGCCATTGGAAGTAAAAGAAATGAGGTAGAATTATTAAAAGTAGCTGAGTGAGTTGAAGCAAGTTCAGATGGAACGAATTTAAAGATAATCAATCAGAGCAGAAAGTTTGTTTTGCTATTGTCTATAGAGTACAGTAGACGCAATGAAATAGAGTTTTAGAACCTTAATTCATTATAGACTCTTCTATCCTTTTCTGTATTTGAAGCTTCTAGAGCACTTGTTACGGCCACTAGCCAAGATTTACCCCATGGAATGGAGGAGCGTACTTGTCGACTTCGGGACGCCACCGACAGAGCATCTGTTTATCAGGGTAAGAAAGCAAGAACAACTATCCCTAGGAACCTTTTAAAACTGCTTTGGTTTCGGCTTGCCGTACAACGTTATCGGCTGAAAAGACTCGTGCGCTTTCTTAACCAGTCAGAATTAAAATAACATACAATTGTGACTTGCCTTTTTCTCAACACATTTTTGATTGGCGCACGCTACATTGTGTTCCCCAGGGAAAAGAGGCCTCTGTTAGCAAGGAATACAATGTGTTTTCTTCACGTTCTGATTTGTTTACTGATAGACGTTGTAATTGGTCAGGGTCATAGCCTAGGTTTTTTCCCGCCCTTAGCACCCGCTCTCTGTTGCCTCGAATTCTGATTGGTTGATCGTTTTTTTTTTAAACTCGGTGTTTTGATTGGTCATGTTCAAGACACTTGATACTTCTATTAGAAAAAAAAGGAAAATGTTGTAATATTCTTTTTAAGTGCAGGCTTAGCCTCGTATTAAGAAGCCAACTTCTCACGACTTGTTTAATCAGCGCATTTGCAAACAAACACCATTACCAAGTTGGCATTGTGGTGGTTTAGTCTGTGTAATTATGTTTGCATTTTTTACAAGTCACAATTACAAAAATGAAACATTCCGATAGCTCAGTCAATCATGGATTACTCATTAAATAAAACTTTGTGCTTTTTTTGTCTAACCACGCATACAGGATTGGGGAAAACCAGGTGATTTGTTCAACTTAAACATTCAGTGGCATATACCCTCGAGGGAAGAGAAGCTATTAGCAAAGGATCTGCTAGACATGTTTTTACAGCCTGAGCTGACAAAACTAGAAAGATTCGTAGATGAATCGCTTACCCTCTCAAGGTGAGTGTCTTGGTTTGTTGTTCTATGTTCTGCTTAATTCTTTTATGTCTTTTTGTGGACAAAATAAACGATTCACAGAAAATGCCTTATTTCTTATTGGAAAATCTTAGGATTTGAAAAGAGCCATTCAAAGGTTTTTCCGAGGAGGTCTCCTTTGAATTTTTAACATCATAGGATCCCGCTCACAGGTTGAAAAGCTAGGGTGAAAAATAATTTCGCCATAGCTTGATCCAGAAAACAACTTTAAAATGTAATTTCCTCCACCTTTTGCCACCCCCTTTCTTTAAATGTCAAATAGAGACCTTCGGCGGCCACTGCGACGACAACCGCAACGACATTGTCAGAAAGACCTTTTTCCAGTCACAGTTTTGTTTTACGCATTTCGAGTGTTTGTTAAAAATGACAAACTTCTTTTTCTTCTTCTTCTTGGCTCTTGTCTCAAATAAGTGCCATATCAACTAACTTCTGTATCTTCCTGTCTGATCTCTATCAACCTCGTGTACTTTTAACGAGAACTGAAAATCAAGACATTTTTCTCTTTGGTGGCTATTTTCTTCATTCTAATAACCCTCATGATTTAGCCTTTCACACGTCGATACATGTATTTTGGCGTAATTCGCACGACAATAACGGCGATTTTAGCACGATCCGACTGCTATTTTCGTTTGTTAAGAAACGTTTTTGACAATAAGAGCGTTCGTGGAAAGAAAGCTACGAAGCTGCACTAAATTTAGTTCATCCTCAAATTTGCAGCGACTTGGATGAGACAAATGCCGCTGAAAACGCTGTTTACGCGCACGATTTGAGTTTGCAATGAGATTGCAGCTTTTCTCACGCAACAGTGAAATTACCCGTGTAAACGGTCCTTAAAGAGGTGATGTTTTTAAATTTGTTTTGCCTTCAGAGAGGAGCTTCAGCAGAGTCTGAATATCATCAGTGGCTGCCTATCAGGAGCTTCCATACTGCTGCCTGACTGGACAAGACCTCCACTGGAGAACTTGTAAGAGTTAGTTTGTTAGTGCAAATTTTAAAAACACCAACTTACAGACAGACTTGGTTGGGTGAATTAAACAACTTATTACAATGTTTTGGCGTGTGATTATTTTGTGACTCTGTCTGGAGAGGGCGTTTTTGATAGTTTAGGTCATTTGAACAAAACGAGTCAAAGCTATAAAGGATCTACAAGTATATTTGCTAAAAGTGGTCTGTTTTGAAGTCAAAGAATCACTTATCTTTTTTTTGTAACCTTAAGTTTTGCCGTTGAGTTATTGCCATGCAATAGTTTTCCCTGATCTTAAATATTGCTGATCTTTCAGAGGCCTCAAGACACTAGTAGGGAGGGGACGTTTTCAAAACACTGTGTCAATGGAACCAGGTAGGTATTTGTCTTACAGTCTACTTGAGAAAACAGCCGACATTTCGCGAAGCCACCGACCATTTCTCCGCAAAATGACGTCTGAGGTACGAGTGCAAGAATTCCATAGTGATGACGTGTTTCTACGTTGATCTGGGTATTGCTTTTTATTGGTTGATAATTTGCTTCAGCCAATCAGGAGCACATACAACCCAGATCTGGGTAGTGACGCGTCATCAGTATGGAATTTCTGCGGTCGTTTCTCAGACGTCATTTCGCGTGGAAACTGCAGATGGCGTCGCGAGATGTCAACTGTTTTTTCAAGCAAAGAAAAGAAGACAATCTCACGAGGTAGTACTCAAACTGCTTTAAAGTAATCTGCATGTTTCCCTTCTTCAACTTATTTGTTTTATGTTTTAGACGTGTCTATGGGTGAACACAATTCACGGGCACAGATAGCAGAGACGATCCACAGAGTGCTAGGTAACTTTTTGCTTTTTTACTTTGTTACTCGTTTGAAATAAAAGCAACCTTGTGGTTAAATCAGGTTAAACATGACTGTTTTGCAAAGAGGTTCCAATCTTTTAGTTTGTGTGAAATGTATGTTGTGGTTCAAATTTTTCCTTGGTTTAAAATTTTTCAAACCAGTTTAATTTTTACTTTCCTTTGTCTAAAATCAATTACCATAATCAGAGACAAAGAAAAACAAAAATTAAACTGGTTTGAAAAATTTTAAACCAAGGAAAAATTTAAACCACAACATGTATAGTCCGAGATGTTTATTGTCAATTTTGTGTTGAAATTATTGCAACGTTTCAAAAGGTGACTACCATTATGGGACACTCCCTAAGTTACCAGGAGGAATAAATAAAAACTTGCACAATCAATTCTGGGATTGTTTGGGTGGAAAAGCGTTAGTTAGGATTAGCCAATGGTATCCCATGGCAACCATCAACCAATCATTTCTTACATTGCCCCTCTTTGCGACCAAAGCCTGTCTCCATTCTCCCTCCACTGATATTTTTCAGTGTGAGGGGTTCCTCTCAGTTTGTTTTCTTTTGTGTGGGGGCTCATGGCTGGGTTGCGCTGTTGTGCCGACCATGGTGGCCTTATTTCAATCTAGGGGGTGGCTGCCAAACGTGGAAGCCCCTGGAAACTCCAGGTACCCAACGTCCATTTAGCAATGCAGTTGTTAATGGAGTGGAAATAAAAACTACACAAAGTACGTGCAAGACGTTTTACCCTGAAGCTGTCGTGCTTTTTAAATACTGATTGATTTCTCCTGTCAATTATTTCCTATTGCTACTTGTAGATCATCTACTCTGCCATCACGAGGATGACACTAAAGCACTTCTAATTATTGTGAAGGTATTTAATAATTTACGTTGTTTGGGACTGGTTGAGTAAGGAATAGGCTTGACTACCTTCAAAATGATGGCTCTGGCAACGAAATTGACAGTGGTCGTGGCAATACTGTAACAACCTTGAAATGGTAATGGCACTATCTCGACAATAATGTTTGTAGAAACGCTGTAGTGACAATGGTAGCATTGGTAATCATCGACGCATATTGATAACGCCATTGCTTATTTTACTGTCTTAGTCATAACTGTTCCCTCTGCATCATCTTTTTGCTTACTTTCTACAGATCTATGATCAATTAATGCTCCACACTGGGGGACAAAGAGATGAATTCGACAACAGGTAAGATAATCTTCGTAGAGCGTTATTCTTTACGTCTGTTCAATTTTGTTAAATGTAAAAATGATCAGTGCAACTCAAATGTTTCGTTGTGTTGCTTTTACAGATGGCGTAGTGCTACCGCTGTGAAGAGAGCAATGGAAGATAGAGTATGTCGTAAATAAGAAACTTGTGACATTTATTTTTCTTCTGTAACTGATGATAAAGAAATAAAACGCAAAGTGGAAAAACTCATGCACATTTAGTTGGAGGTAATGCAACAGAAGATAAAACGCAAATCCGAATTCCAGCGAGTGAATTAACCATGCTGGATCAGTCCTTAAAGTCGTGATTAATGAACACAGTCTATCATTTTTAAAAATATGGGAGGGAAGGTTGGGATCAAAGAGACCGGAGAGGGGTGCTTATTAGTGGATTTACGGTAACTTAAGTATACATAATCAGAAGGAAAAACATGCAAAAAATCTTTTGTTATTCCATTGAGGTAAGAGTACAGAATGTGGCAAATAAAATACGAACAAGTATAAATGCATCATATGAAAAAGGATCAAAGTTTTACGTGCGTTCTACAGTAGAGTTTGTTTAGTTGGTTGTGAACCACAGTTGTCCAAGACAAGCCAAAATGTTTTCTTTTTTTGGTTTAGGTGTGTTACTACTTTTTTCGCGCTATTACTTAATCAACACATGGTCTTAATTATATTAATTTTTCTTTTAGCTTGCTGGGAAGAAGAAACATGTAAGACCTCTGTTGATCGAGAGGGTTCAGTTACAACATGAGGTATGCAGATATAGTTTTCTCAGACTCTTTGTCTCCCTAGGTGAACCATTTGAAATCACCTCTTGGGCGCGAAGGTCACCTTTACCTTACCTTACTCGAGGAAGGGAGAGCGATGATTGTAACAAGTACATCATTCTCAGTCCTTTAGATATGTATCAGTTCCTGTAGTTCACATCATCTTCATTCTAATTCTTACTTTGTTTCCAGATGCGCATCCTTGATCGTGTTTCAACGCAGTTAACGACTTTACACAAGGTGTTATTGGACGATTTGTTTAAATTGGCAACGACAGTTTACACAGAGGTATGTCTTTGGTTTGCTTTTGTGTCACTTTTCTTGCCCCTTTGTCTGTATGTCTCCATTTTAAAAGTTAAGTTCTCCGTGTCACTTAATTAAAGCTGGATTGCGCAGTTTATTGGGCTTCTACCAGGGGAAAGATTTTGTACGTCCGGCTAAAAGTGAAGAGGTGAAAAAGTAAAAGTCCGTCTGTAGTAAGCATTCATTTCAGCCAGATAAAGTTGTTAACACGCTTAGCTAGTGCCACCCTTTTACAGTCTCCATCTCGACATAAAAGGAGTGAAACAGAAGGTAGCTGAGGCGCAGTCGTGTGCCTACTTGCTTGCGCTTTTTAAACCTAAACTCAACGGTCAGGTTTGGTCCAAATTTTCTTCTTACCATGTTGGCTGTATTTGTCACAAGGTTCGTATCAAAGCCCAGAGAGTCCTTTCTTCGTGCATCGAGGTGTTTGATTATTTTGCTCGAACACTGATTCCAACAACGTTGTCAAAGCTTCAGAACAGTCCAGACATCTCCCACGAGGAATTCAAGGTGGGTACTTCTATGAGCAAGTGTTATTGCGGGCGACAAGAGGAGCCTGCAATCCTAATTTCCAGGCTGTTATCAGTTATTACTAGGGAGCTTAAGCAAAGACGTTTTTGAGCGACGCACGTCAACCGGAAGTGAGGCCTTCTCCCTTTTTATATGCCTGGACACTACCAAATTTGTATTGCTGAGTTTCTTTTCTCCTATGAAGACGATTTACCTAAGGGTTTCAACCAAACCACAGCCCAATGCTGCAAAAAGTCAACTTCCGGTTGACGTCCGTCGCTCAAAAACGCTGTTGCTTAAGCTCCCTACTGTCACAAGTTATCGACGTAAAATATGGTTGCCTAACCTTTTATACGGGATCAGTCCACATGAAGTGTTTCAGTCGTGATTAATCAATACAGTCTATCATAAAAGAATAAATAGGGATGGGAGGGGGGTTCAAAAGAGGTAAGGGGGCTTAATAACTTTCTTCCCCGGAAAAGGTGGGCTTATTAGAGAGGGTGAGGGGGGAGGGGGGTATTTGAGAGGAGGGGAAGGGGAGGGGCGTAACAGAGGATTATGGTACAGTCAAACCGCGTTAATACGGACATTAAGGGAGCTTAATAACTCACTTCCCCGGAAAGCGGGGGGTGCTTATTAGAGAGGGGGAAAGGAGGGGCATAACAGGGGATTTAGGATACAGTCAAACCCTGTTAATACGGACACAGAGGGGACTTAATAACTTTCTTCCTCGGAAAAAGGCAGGGGGGCTTATTTGAGAGGAGGGGAAGGAGGGGCATAACAGAGGATTTATGATACAGTCAAACCCTGTTAATACGGACACGAAGGGGGCCATAAAAAGTGTCCGTATTAACGGGATGTCCGCATAAGGCGGGTTGAATTTAGAGAAAATGTGAGGGCTTTTTTTCCCCCAGGGATAAGGAAAACTGTCCGTATTAACGAGGTGTCCGTATTAAGAGGGTGTCCGTAAAGCGGGGTCCGACCCTAATTATAACATCTTGTTTTTCTTTTTTTTCTACAGGGCGCGCTTTACGTGCTACTAAACAACCGCATGCTCTTTTTGATAGTACATTACTGGGAAGTCATGGTTGATGTTTGGCCTGCGATTGTTAAGGTAATTGTTGTCACTGTTTGACAGCAGATCAATCAACGCAGTAGACTTTCTAAAAGTCCTTTTTTTTTTTCTTGGTTGGTTATGCCATTTTAAAGAACTTTTCATACCTGTGTAGCGCGAAATTCACCAGTCGAAAATTCAACCGATGACGTCATGATTATTAACCAATAGGACAGTGAGTGATATTTCACGCCGCTCCCGTTACAGCATATCTCCATCATTTTTTTTCGCGCGTAAATTAATAACATTATTCAAAACCATTCAGGCGAAACAAGTCGACCTCGAGACTTCGTCTCTCGCTCGGTCGCTACGCGACCTCATGCATTGAAGCTCGCTTTGCTCACTTTTAAGAAGTTATGAGAGGTCAACTTGTAGCAAGTCTATCAACGCAGCAGTACCGACTTTTGTGTGGATGTTGTTGTGTAATTTCGTATCTGTTTAATTAATGATAGAGACTTTTAGATTCGAGGACGAGTACGACTAGGAGGACGAGAATTAACTCTAAGTTTTTCTTCTTGTATTCTCTAAAAAAAGAAACCCCGGACAGCTTCACTGTACTTTCTTTTCACCAGGAAAGATAGTACGTTTATATCCATTGAAGGATGTTACATCTTCTCCCGATCGCAGAACGATACAATTTCTGACATTTGATAACTTGTTTTTGCCACTACTACATTCTCACTAAAACTCATAGTAGAATGACGACGGCTATCACGTTTTCCCGGCAAAATGACGATGGTTCACGTGTGCGCACTACTTAGTATTGGGAAAATCTCGTTCTCTTAGTCGTACTCGTGTTAGAATCTAATGGTCTCTAATGTATTGACCGTCAGAATAGTAATTTTTGCTGTTAATTAAAGTGCAATGTTTGATTTACGACAGTTTTATTTTCCTCAAGCCGCCTTTTGATGCAATAACACTTAAGTTGCTTAAAGATACCAGTCAGAGACCAAAGTAAGGCTAGAAAACCTCACAAGAGATTATCAACAACCCATTTCTCTCAACTGGCACGTTGGTAACAGTTAGGGATAAGTAGTGTGAATTAACGCTTTGACTTGGTCTTTGTTTTTAGGCTGATCATTCTGAAAAACCTTCTATTATTACTCTGACCACCATGCTTGCCGAAAAAATGGTGAAAAAATACGACACAGTGGCTATAAGCAGAGTGGTAAGATAACAGTCTTTTAAAGTAATCATTCACATCTTTACTACCTGGATAGTCTGCATAACCGAGGTTATTTCTTCGCGTTTTTCAAGAGAGTAAAGGAAAGCGCGAAGCGAGCGAGGAGAGGCAGACACGCGCGACGGGGCGAGGCGCTGGTGCTCCACGCTCGCTTCGCGCTTGCCTTCGATCTTCTGAAAAACGCGAAAAAGTAACCGCGGTTATGCAGGTTACTACCTGGAACACCCTCAATCTACCTTAAAAGTGACAGTATGTTAAGAAAAGCATTATAGGAACTTCGTTTAGCATTTCATTTCTCGTTTAGCATGTGAAAAGGAGAAGGTCCTGTTCTCATTACGGTCGTTATCATTTATTGTCCCGCAATATAATAAACAGCACCGCACCATAGCAATTCTTGGAAGTGTTTACACCGTAAGGATTTCATCCACAGACTCAAAAGTTAGAACCACCTTGTACAGTATAATAAACAGTACTACAGGAAAGCACTGCTCAGTAGCTTTCATTCGAATGATCACACTTTAGGACTTCAAATTAAAACCACCTTTATATAGCGAAATGAGCCTTAGCTGTGTTTTGTTTCAAGGTGACCGATGCAGCAGTTGAACAAGCTAAGATGCTTTTAACTTCAACTGGCCCAGAACCACGCACCTGCCTAAAACAACCCATCAGTGCATCAGACTCACCTCTTCCAAGCGAGCTTCAAATAAAAGAGAGCGTAGAAGTTTGGAATAACACCCGCGAAACTAATCTCAGGTATAAACACCAATTCCCCACTTTAGAACACGAGAAGGGGACTGGAGCCGAAATGCGTCGCGCAGTTGTTTCTGGGATCGTTCCTGGGGACGCGCTGGTCAGCTATTGGCCAAAATTTTTCTCATTGTCCTTAGTAACAATCCCAGAAGTCTTTGCGAAAGTTAACTCGTCCCAGTTTGCCTCTCGTGTCTAAAGATGCGAATTTTAAAAACATGAAAGGGCCTGTGTTACAAGATTTACCAAAATTCAAAACCAAGTTGAAGAAACGTACAAATTACTGCTCAAAACATTAAAACGTGTCGTAAATAACGCAACCTATACAAAAGAAGTTACGGATGGGCAGATTGTGAGAAGATTGAGACGGATCGCAATTGTGGTTTTGGAGAACCTTCTAGCGTAATAGGTTTTTAAAGTTCCTTTTTTGCTCTGTAACGTTTGATATATGCTTTGGAGCCATGTTTGTTTCAGATCATATGAAGTGCTGATCTTGTCATTTGTAAGTTATTTCTAAGGATAAGTTTCATTGCGATAAGGACGTGTAATTGGTATTTTTAACAAAATTTGCGAGACCATTTGAAGCTAATTTCCTTGTGAAACAGGACTGCGTCCATAGTATTCATGCCTTTAATAAAAGCTCTTTCTTTGCAGAAACTTCCAACAGCTAGTGAGCACATTAATTAATTTGCTGGACACCGATAGTCTGTAAGTTGCAGCATTATTCCAAGCATTAAGTCATAGCTTATAGCAACAATATATACATACAGTTGCATAAAGTTGAAGCGGTTTTATTTAATTGGTCAAGCCACAGGATTTAGTACATAGACTCAATATTTAGAATTACTTGATGCTGCACAATAAACAGCATCACAGGAAAATACTGCTCAGTCGCTCTTGTTTCAATGGAAGACACTTAGGATTTCATCCACAGACTCACAAGGTAGAACCACGTTGTACAACGTAATAAACAGTACCACATGAAATTACCGCTCAGTAGCTTTCATTGGAATGGTCACACCGTAGGATTTCGTCCAGGTTCACACGTTAGCACTACTCTTCATGTCCTCCGTATTGACTCTGTGACTGAAAGCATCAGCAACACACTTTTCAGTCAAGTTGCATCTGTATGACTTTCTGCCCTTTCCAAACCCAACCCCATTAGCCTAAGTATCATTATACTTTTCGGGGAATCTGCCCACCTTCTCCTCCCCTAAGCCAATATTTTGCCCTAAGTGAGAAGTAAGTGTTAATGTTGGCTTAGGCGAGGGATATCTGGGCAGTTTCCCAGAAGTGTATGACCGCTCTCCAATATTATTTCAAAGTAAGGCACTCCAGACAGCTACTTGTTTTTCTTGTCAACGCGTACTAATAATCTACTCTTGTTTATTTATAATGTAGTCGAAACTATTCTCTGTTGTTTCCGTTTCAGACGTTGGCGTTATCTTCAAATTTGCTTTAATTTTGTGAAATTATTGATTCGTTATGATGTTCCACTGCCGGCCAGTGCTGTGAAACTCTGCGTAAAATTTCTCAATCACGATGCCTTGGCAATTCGAAAGGTAAGTGCGACCCTTAACTCGCACATTCTAAGGGAAATGCCGGCTTGTGAAATCCAGCTAATATATTTTTGCTGTGGAATTTGGAATCCTGGGCTTTGGAATCCGGAAAACAGCTCAAGAATTCTGGATTCCCTCTAACGATTGGAATCCGCAATCCGAAATCCACTGTGTAGAAGCCAGAATCCAAGACTGTCTTGGACTGTCTTGGATTCCCTTACATGATTCGACTTATCGTTTTATAATTATTATTTTGCCTACAATGTTTCTCGTCCGTTTTAGGTGGCAATAGATGCCGTTGGTGCAATTCTCAAACAGCAGAAGCGACCACACGTCAAAATAGCTGTTAACCCATACTCCGTTGGTAAGGTTGGAATAAACATTGATAATAATGCGATGCATGTGAAATCACCTCTGTACGCGGCCCCCTCTAAACAGCCAGCACCTATTTAAAATACCAAAATGAGTTTTCGGAATTTCCTATTAAACGTTCTTTAGGGAAAATCTATCTTATGTGATCACGAAAACTAGGCATTTTGGGTGATTTTGGACTGTATAACTAATTCCATAACTGGAAAGAACGAAAATGAAATAAACGTAGAGCATATGATCTATTCCTTAACGCCCTTATGCGTCTTTTTGCTCTCTCTTGGCTTCTTTGGACTCACTGTTGATGCTTTAATTTTTGTGTTTAAAGCTGGCCTACCAGAACCTACCTCAACAGTCATCCAGCCTGGAGATCGGGAAGATAATAGATGGTAAGGTGCTCACTACACGTCTTATTTCGTACATTTCCTTTAACAAACGTCTAGATAATTTGTTTTCTTTAAAATATGTTTTAATGAAACTCTTCCAGATGATCTCGTCCGCATTCTCACGAATTCCCCCTCAGTTGCTTTTAAATTATTAGATATTGTCGTCGTTGTGATCGTAATCATTGTCGTCATCATCATCATCATCCTCCTGACCACCATCGTCACCATTATCACCATCACTGGCTGCAAAAAGTACTCGAAATGAAAAATGTTGCTCGAAATACGAACTTTTGCCAAAAAGTTAATTATCATCGTCATCATCATCATCATCATCATCATCTTCATCATCATCACCACCTCTATTTCCCCCGCACCACCACCACCATCATCACCACTGCCATCATCACCATCATCATCATCATCACCACCATCATCATCACCACCACCCCCACCATCACCACCACCACCCCCACCACGACCACCATCATCATCATCAACACCACCACCCCCGCCACCACCCCCACCACCACCACACACTATCATCATTATCATTATCATCACCCCCACCACGACCACCATCATCATCATTAACACCACTACCCCCGCCGGCACCACCACCACCACCACTACCACCACCACTATCATCATCATCATTATCATCACCCCCACCACGACCACCATCATCATCATCATCACCCACCCCCGCCGCCACCACCACCACCACCACTACCACCACCACTATCACCACCACCACCACCACTACCACCACCTTTATCATCATCATCACAACCACCACCCCCACCATCATCATCATCATCATCATCACCTACCACCACCACCATCATCATCATCGTCATGGTCACTCCATCACAATCTTTGATTATTAGAACTGAGCATGTTTCGTTGATTCTTCCAGGTTGCATTACTCCTCAAGTAATGTCCCAAAGAATAAAAAAGAATGGGAGAGCTGTGTCTTCATCGACAAAACACACTGGGGTTACTACACTTGGCCAAAGTAAGCAAACGTGAAAAGCGGACGATTGTTTTTTCTTTCGGTATAATCGATCATATCTATGTTCTCGGTAATAAAGTGGACCTAAGTAAATTAGTCGAGGCTGATGCTAAGGATTATCTGTATTTAAATAGGTTTTCTCACCTACCCCTCCCTTAAGCGAACATTAACACTTACTTCTCACTTAGGGCAAAATGTTGGCCTATGGGAGGGGTAGGTGGGCAGTTTCCCAGAAACCTAAATTGATCTGTGTTCTCAAAGGCCTATGAAAAAGAGATTTCTAAGCGCTTGGTGGCTTCAGAAGTACCACCTATTTACAACCTGGTGGGTAGCTCGCGGAGTATTACATGCCGTTTTTTCTCATTTATATAGGAAACTGCTGACCTATGCGCCAGTAGACCAACAGCCTCCTCTAGGTCGAACACGTGATCAACTTTCAGAGGTAAGAATTTGATCTTTTGGCGGTGTGCACACGAGTTCGAAAACATACAAACGTTTGAACAGCTTCCGTGCACATGAGAATAGCCTAGAAATAGGAATAGAAGCGAGAAGGGGAGACAGCAAAGGGAGAGAAACTTCCCCTCCGCCATCTAAAATCTCTACTCGCCAAAACCTTAAGGAAGGCCTAATATTCAACTCGAGAAAGATATGTTTTCGTTTACGAATTTGTGCACTCTGGAGTTTTTTTTCGCGATAGTTCTTGTCTGCACGAAGGCCATAAACTCATAAGTTAATACACATTTGCAAGACTGGCGTAGCTTTTGCAGAATGCATATCCCAGGGAGTTCTAATCTCCCTAGAGGAAGGCTGTCCGCCTGTTTACAAATTTTTTAACGTTTGCCATAATATTTTGTTTTTGGTAAATTCTTTTCAGGAAGAACAACCAATTTACGATGCTTTCAGTCAAGAAGAATTCATGTCAAAATTCATTGCGTTTCTGTCCTTGGAAGATAGGAAGGGCAGAGACAAATTCAATGTGCATCGATTTGTACTTTTTAAGGTAATGTGATTTTGTTTATGTTATAATAAGGTGAACAAAATGCTCTGCAGTCGTCCTCAGTGGCGGATCCAGGAGAGCGCCCCCTCCCTTATTTTTAGACCAAACTGAGGCTCGAAGAGCCGAAAAGAAATGTTTTAGACACCCCCCCCCCCCCCCCCCCTTATCTGAAGGTCAGTATCCGGCACTGGTACTTCCCATCTACTTTTTGCTTCATCATTCCTAATACCTTCACTTCATGCTGGTCCAGTCGTGTTGTGCGTCAATTAGCAATCTCACCTGACACGAGCAAGGAATTCTGACGACTACCATTATTTACCATATATCTTTCTTTGCAGGGTCTTTTCAGAAACTTTGACGACACGTTTTTTGATCTACTCAAGCCTCATCTTGAACGTCTTTGTATAGATCCCCAGGTAAGCTTAAGTTGACTTGACATCTCATGAATGGTGAGTTACCGTAAAATTCCGAAAATAAGCCCCGGGGCTTATATTTTTCAAAGGCCCTTTTTGAAGGGCTTATTTTTGGAGGGGCTTATATTCGGAGGGGCTTATCTTCGTAGGGAAATTTGCGTTTCGAAATCGATTGGGCTAATCTTATAAATGGAAGGAAATTTACCGTTTTTTCTTTGTATTTTAGGGCAATTTCCGAGTACAAGATATTTGGAGGGGCGATTTAACGAAGGGTTTTCTACGTTACGGGTTTGGGGGGCTTATATTTGGAGGGGCTTATTTTCGGAATTTTACGGTATGAGGTCAGTGTTAAGTAGGGGTTTTTTGTTGCTGTTGCTGTTGTTTAAAAACGTGGCAACCTCTCGGATTTCACCTTGGCGGAGGTGACCAACCTCGTTCCCAGGTTCCACTCCTGCTCGTTCCCCTTTTACGGGAGTAACAGTGGACGCTGGGAACGAGATTGGTAGGTGACCATCTGAATGAAAACTAATAGTGTACCATCCATTGTTGTTTTCATTTTTCAGGAGAGCAGTCAAAGATGTGCTGTGGAAATAATCGCCGCTGTCATCCGTGGATGCAAACACTGGAGTTACGAGAAGGTTGAAAATCTGTGGGATTTTCTTTTACCACTTCTTAGAAAGGCCATCTTGGCTGTGAACGTGGAGACGTTAGAGGACTGGGGCACGTGTATGGCAACCGCTGTGGTGAGAAGCTGTTTTGTAACCGTAACGAGAAGGGAAATGGGGCCGAAATTTGTCCCGCAAGGGCTTCTGGGATCGTTCCCGGGGACGCGCCGCTCGGGTATTGGGCAATTTTTTCCATGTCTCTAGTAACAGTTCCAGAAGTCTTTGCGAAAGTTAACACGGTCCAGGTTCTTTCTCGTGGCTAAAAATCTAGATTTCATTTCTTTTGTAGGAGAGTCGTGATCCCCGGCGCATCCATCGTTTCCTAGAAATGCTGTTAGAAGAACCTTTGGACGATCAACGTGGCTCGTTCTCTGATTCGAGGTGAGAAGAGTTTAGACTGCTTCGATCCACTGTTTTTTTTTAAATTTGGAAATCGCTTAGACCGGAACTGAATGTGTGCAGGATGTTATCAGAGAGTCGGACTGAAAAACTGCACGGACCAATTCTATGTATCCGTTTTAGGAAAGTTTCCAGTTCAGTGAGAGTTGAGTGCTGGGTGGCCTGTGGTAATAGAAGGGTCTTTGGTTGCAGTTACTGATGCCTATGTTCGTGGCTTTGTTTCTTTTCAGTCGTTTGTATTTCATTCAAGGAGCGCTCTGTCAACAAGAATGGAGAGTTCCTGAGCTGCTTCACCGGTTGTTGGGCGTCATCGAGTCCCACCTAAACCATCCTTACAAAAACGTACGCGATCGGCTAGGAAGGTATGTACTGAGATTGTTTGAATCTCCATATAGGACATCCAGACCATCTTATTTATTCCGTGCTGTAGCGACCCTAATAGTCTATTGTGTGGATCAGACACGTAAGCAACTTTTTTTCATCTTTTGTAGCGTACTTTGTAGCGCGATGATGTATGACCTCAACTTGCCAAACTGCACACAGACGCAATCTCCAAACCGGAAGGAGTTTGTCAGCAAAGTACTTCCTCAGTTGACAGGGCTGCAGGAACTGGCACGAGAGAAGGAGATCATGGGCGGAAGTGACGTCAGTACAGAAAATGAGGAACGTTTCGATAAGGAGGAAGTGAAGGATGGGTCTCGTGAGAGCGACGAGAGAAAGGAGGCTATCAAGCGCTTAAAGACAAGTAAGTAGAAGGTTAATGACAATTTTGTGTGGGCATCTGTAGTTCTCTGAATCAAAATGGCAGGCTACAACACTGAACCATTTCTCCACCTGAGTTGCCGTAAAGAGAATCGAGAAAAACAGAGACCTTTACATTCGAGGACGAGACAAGATTCAATTTCAAGTTTTCTTCGCGTATTCTTTAAAAAATGTAAACCCAGAAAGTTCCATTGTACTTTTTTTCAACAGAAAAAATGAACACAGTTATCTTTATTGAAGGATTTTAAGCCTTCTCTCGTTTACAAAATGATCAAACGTGTAACATTTGATAACTTGTTCCCACCACTACTATTCTCGTAAAAATCCGGAGTAGAGTGACGGCGGCTACCACGTTTTCCCGCCAAAATAAAGTTGTTTCACGCGTGCGCACCACTTGGTATTGAGAAAATCTCGCTCTCGTAGTCGACCTCGTCTTAGAATTTGACGGTCTCTAACGCCTGGTGAATGACATCGACTAAATCTAGGTGTCCCTTTTTGTCTTTTTTGTTGTAGTGACGAACTGGCTTTTATCCCATGCCGTTCGTACCCTTCACAGTTGTCCAGAGGAATTCTTCGACCTTTTACCTGTGGTGAGTACATGTTGTAAAAGTCAATTCGCCCTCGTATATGATGGAAAAACGCCGTTGTTTAAACGGTACGGAATAACTCTCAATTTGCCACTGGGGGTGGGCGATAAATAAGGGCGAAGTCAAAAAGGTTGGTTTTACCAAATAAAATCCAATTTTTTACTCTCCTATGGACGCAAGAACGCAATTAAACTAACTTCTTATCGCACCTTTTTTTTCAGATTATACTATTTGACTCGCAAGAAGACGATCCCGAGCTTCAACACTACTGTCATAGAGTATGTATAGAAACTTTACTGCTACCCTGTTTTTGCACTGGAACGTGTTTCTTCATTAGTAGTAATTTCATGATATTTTTACCCTATGGGGTGACTTCCATAATATGGTCTTGACGTAATAATTTAAACGCAAAAGGCAGTGTTTCATACGATATCTAGACACTGCAAAATGCGTTGTAAAAGACCGTCTTGGACGCGTCTGTCGCTTAATAGGGACTTCAAGATCCAACGACGCAGACGGCAAAGAGAACGTCAGAAAAAAAGAAACAAAAGTTCAATGAGCAAAACAACAACTTTGCACGTGGATCACGCTCTTTTGTACATTTCTTTCCTGTTTTTGCACCACTTCGACGTGAAAATGCCTAATTTCGCGTTTTGAGGAGGACGTAAACAAGCAACGACGAAATTTTATTTCTCTTTCTGAGCTTGAATATGGTCACTTGAAATTCAGCTTCAGAAGGGTTCGCCTACATTTGACAGAGTAAGTGGTTAGGAATAATCGCTGTAAAGACTAAAAGAACGCAAATTCACTTTTTATGCGACAGTCTCGTTACCGTCGCGTCGTTGGATCTTAGAGTTCCTAATACCACCCTGTTATCAGAATCTTTCTTTCGCTTGGTTGATTTTGGCGAATTCTAGAAAGACTCTACATGAATCGAGTAAGAACTTTGTTGAGCATGCGCCGAATGTTGCTAGAATAGAGTCTCAAACCCAGGCCTAAATGATAGCTTAGGGGAGGGGTAGGTGGGCAGTTTCCCGGAAACCTTAATTGATGGATGTTTTTTCCCTCTTCTTGGCAGACTATTGCTTACATATCCCAAACAGAGCTACCTTTGAGCATGGTACCGCTGGCACTACAGACTGTCAAGCAAGTAGGTTCATTGTCATGTTTATTTTACTAGTGTAAGGTTCGGTTTTGTTCTTTAACCAGGGGATAATTGGACATAAATCCCCTAGTTCGGCGATTTCGTTGAAGGAAAATAAAACAAACTTACTCTACAATAGTAGTAATCTTATATGAATAACTGCGTTTAACATTTAGTAAAACACAAAAAGTACATTAATCTCTCCAACTATAAACTGTAGTTTTATTGCATCACAAAGTAACCGAAACTCTTAGTAAGGGATTACCCTAAAACAGCCGTTATGCAACAAAGTAAAATACAAAAAAAAAAAAAAAAACAAACAAACAAATAGTCACCTCATTTTTTGTTGGTTGCGGATAAAACACGGTGATGGTAAATTCTTAGGGGAGTTGTATTCGGATAATTGATATTCACTCAGTGACACAAGGAATAAAACACAACTTGTCCCAATAGGAGTCTGGCAAACCTGTGACCCTCTGGTTACCAGTCCAGGTGCTCTACCACTTAGCTATAAGAGACTCGTGGGAGCCAATATCAGGTTTACTCACTAAGTTCTGTTCATTACAGAAGTGTTCTTGTTTTATTGTAGCTGGCCAGTAATGCCCTGTGGCATCCAAGGCGAAGTGTATTGGAGTATCTACAAGTCATGATCTTTGCCAACCTGTTTGCTATTACCAGTACCCCGCAGCACATTCAGGACGTGAAAGAAATGGTGCTGAGTCTTTTAGAAGACGAGCAACTAGAGGTATTGTTTATTGTGCTGTGCATGAAATCAACTGAAATTGTGGCCATTCAAATGAAAGCTTCTGAACAGTGCTTTTCTGTTATGCTGTTTATTATGCTGTAAAAGGTGGTTCTAACTTTTGAGTTCATGGATAAGATTCTATGGTGTGATCATTCAAATGAAAGCTACTATAAAACACTTTTTCTTGTGCCGCTCATTGTGCTGCGAAAGGTGGCTCTAACGTTCTTTCAAGTCTGTGGATGAAATCCTAAACTGTGACCATTCAAATGAAAGCTACTAAGCAGTATTTTCTCTGTGGTTGAAATCCGGCAGTGGCACTCTCTAGTCATGCTGCTATTTATAATATTGACCTGCCTGAGTATAACTTTTGAGTCTCGCCTTCGGTTGAAACCCGATAGTACGACAATTCCCGGGCGCTAACGGGTAGCTTTACTTTTTCCGCCGTTTCTTATGCAGTGGAGACTATCCAGTACTACTCTTCAAGCTTAATTGTATATTTTTCTCTCTTTGGCAGGTTCGAGAAATGGCAGCCGTGACATTCAGTGGTCTCGTTCATTATGGATTTCTTCAGCTGGACGACATACTTCAGGTGTGAATGGACGTGGTTGAACATTTCCCGATGTGCCTTTCCCAGCAGTATAGACTTTTCATTTTGATGTTTTACGTACCGAGATAAATGCGGTTACACTCAAGTTTGTATCCCCAGCGTTGTCTTTTGCTGGAAATTAGCGATCTAACCTGAGGTTAAATTTTATTCAAACGTTGGATATGGTTATCCAACGTTTGAACATTTTTCGGGTACTTTTCTTTGTGCTTTTAAGCCTTCAAATGGATGAGTATTAGTGAAACCGATTGCGTTATCAACTGCGTTATCCATCCAGTGGATAGCGTTATCAAGATTTCGAACAACTTAGCCCTGATTGGTTACTTTAATTTTTTTTTCGACCCATGTAAGGGAATTCGGATTCCGGAATCCAAGACTTCTTGCTTTCAGAAATCCGAGGTATCTAGCTAGCACTCATGCGTGGCGGCTTCCTTGAATAGTTTTTACCGCTCCACGTCCTACGGAATGTTAAACTCGTCGCAGCTGGGTCCAATTTTTTGTTGCGTCAAAAATGCCTTACCTTTCGGGAAAAAAGGCTTGTCGTAAACAAAATAGGAATCTAAATTAGCGAGTAAATCAGTGGAATGTTCCCCTCTGACGTTACAGATTTTTCCATAATACCCACTTACAGACTTTTGGTGAGAACAGTTTTAATCCTGTGACCTCAAATCAGCCAACAACGGAGCGCGCCGTTGGTGAAAAATCCCTGCTTATAAGTGTTGTTTACTGCTCTTTAGAAACAATTTACCAAGATGGCGAACACCAAACTCAAGAAGAAGAAAAAAGGTGTAATAGGTGTCAACGGATTCAACAATGACGCAGGTAATACCCAAGTTGTATGTGACATTTTAGTGGTCGGAGGACTGACCAATTAAAATGCCGCCTTTCTTTAGGGGTTCCGCTGACCGAAAGCGCAGTGTTACATTTTTAACTTGTAATTGGGTGTTTTCCCCATTCCCTATTGTTGAAATGGTGAACATCAAAAAAACAATGAATCATTCCGTGTTAAATAGGAAAACTGACTGCTACACTGGACAGAAGCCCAGTGTAAGGCGAACATCAGTTCCCGTTTATTCTATACAAATACACACACTCGGGTACTGCAAAGGCAGTGAAGCAGGAAAAATGGAACAAGCTCCAAGTATAATAATTTGATCGATAATGTAATAAAGATGATATCGTTAGACGGATACTTTCTTTCTCAGTCCTCATTTTAAAACTTGGTTTGTCTGTTTGTAAGCATTCTTGTCCTTGTTAATTTTAACCAACTGACCGTGCTTTTCACTTACTTGAGTCTTTTTCTTTCCAGCCTTGATCCACCGTCACGCCGGAGTGCTGGGCCTCGCAAGTTGTGTCCAAGCCTTTCCATACGACGTCCCCTCTTGGATGCCACAAATTTTGCTGGATCTTGGCGAGCATCTGCATGACCCGCATCCAATACAGGTAAGGCGGTTTGCCCTCGTCCTCCATAAAACGTGACATTAGGACATTTCACGTCGTAGCTGAGAGAGGACGACGACGAAACGTATCAAAACTAAAAAAAAGTGTGACGTGTATTGTTTTTGTCGATGCTGTTGCCTTCTTCGTCGTTACATAAGCTTTTCTTATTTCTCACCTCCCCCCCCCCCTTTCTTTCTCTTCTTTTCCTTTTTTTTTGCTTTTTTCTTCTCATTATCATCGTCCTCCCTCTTATCATCATAACCACAGTCTTCCTTCTGCTCCTCCTCCTCCTTCTCCTCCTCCTTGTCGTCATCATCATCATCATCGGTTTCTTCGTTATCATCATTATTATTGTCATCATCATCATCATCATCATCACTATCCTCGTCGATGTCAGTCGGTCGATCTTGTAATAGAAGCTTCCCGTTTCTTACCTCCATCTCTACCTCTATTCATAAACCTAAAAATGATCTTATTGATGCCTTTTTTCTTGGTAAAGAATGATTTATGTTATTCTTTTGTAGGGGAATAAGGGGTGCGGGATGGCGGAAGAGAGTTTATAAATAGAGCTAGAAATATAACAATTCAAAAATACGTTTTTAAGAATTAGGTGTACTTCGCTTATCGTGTGTGTTTTTTTTGGCTTATGTAGGCAACAGTAAAGAAAGTGATGTCGGACTTCCGTCGAACTCACCATGACAATTGGCAGGAACACAAGCAAAAATTCACTGAGGATCAGCTTTTGGTGCTGACAGATCTTTTGGTCTCGCCATGTTACTACGCTTGAATGGCTCGAGTTGCTTTGAACGAAAACTCCACAAAGGACTCAGCACTGACATCTGCTGATGACAACAGAACTGTTTCTTCTGCAAAACACGTTGCTCTTGTCATAAGAAGCCCTTCTGACAAATTCCATCTGCGTTCAAGATCCCTTTTTTCCCACGATAATTGCCTTGTATTGAAGGAGTTTTTTCTTTTGTCGTTTTGTTGTCGTATGATCAACTGCTGAAAGTTGTGATGTTAGCATGCGTCTTTTCTACACCTGGTTTGGGTCACGCAAGCAGGTTCTGTGGAAAGTCACGCTATATATTTTGGTTCCAGTTTTGAAAACGCAATACTTGCTAAGTGCGTGACACAGACACTCCAGTAGCCATGCAGTCACCTTAAGAGTTACAGTCACGCAAATCCGTTGTCACGCGCTTGTATCAACACTGTCTAATCTTGTTAAGGGGACACATCGCTTTTCGACAATTTGAAGTTCGTTTTAGGATAGAACTCAAGCCATTGGCAACAAAATCGGTCAACTGACCACATTGAAGCTGTAGAATAGAATGATTTGTATCATTTGTAAACCAATGGTCTTTTGATGCTCTGTGCAGCTTTATGGTTTTATGATTTTTTGAAAGGTAGCGAGGTCCTCATCTCTGAAGAGTTCCCATAGTCTTGAAGAATTAAAGAAACTTTTCAAATTTTATTTGTAAATTTTCCAAAACGAACATATTCATATATGGCTTTGAAAGGGGTTTTATTTGAATGGTATCATTGCAGAATTTCTTCCCTATCTGACCCTTAGTCTGAAGCTTTAGAACTACTTAACTAGTCTACACTTTGGAAGAAAAGAGAACAGTTATTTAAGGGTAAAGATATTATCTAAGGTCTTTACTTTATTATTCAGAGCCACAGATTTATTTACTGAAAATGTTACAGTTTACTTTTGTATTAAAGTAAAACGCATGGCCACCTTTTATACCCTCCCCCCTCCCCCTAGTGCTGTCCAAATCTTGAACAACTGACTGAAAAAATGGACTGTTTGTTGGAGATAAATAAACGGTAACACAACATTTTTGGTACTCGACAGCTGGCTAAAGCCGCCATGGACAGGCGATATGAAATTAAAAGCTTCTTTAGCCTTCCACGCTGACGCAGACGTTTCTTTCCCGCTTGACGAAGCCCTAAGAACGTCGGTGCGCATGGGAGGCTAAAGATTGCAAAAAGGTTGCAAATTTAGCTGTTTGTATCGTTGAGGACCTTTCGACATGGGCTGGAGACGTGTTTCCAGCGCGAGGTCTACGGATCAGATGATACGAAAATAGCTCAGTGATAGTGAGTTTCCAGCAACTTCCACTTCAACCGCTCTGCAAACCTCCAGACAAATCATTTCTTTTCGACGCTTTGACAAGATTTTCCGATTAGATAAAGCCACATTCGAAATAACGTTCCAAATTTAACTTAACAATATAATATAACAAGAAATTCCGCAGTAATCGCTCGGTGTTTCAACTGGTAATCTAATATATAGATTTAGCCAGGGCTAAAAGCGAAGCTCTCTTTAATATTTATAGTTTCCTCAAAGAAAACAACTTTGCACGTGCAGCACACTTATTTTGTAGTTTTGCACGTGAAACTTCTTTTAACTTCCTATTTACTCTTTTTATGGAGGAAATGTTTGTGTCCCTGTTCATTCTGTTTACGTACTGCCGCTCATTTTACTTTGGTAGCCGCTAGCATCTCTCATTTTCTAACCGCCGCTATATGATTTTCATGTTTTTCTTCCAACGAAATTGGTCTCCGTTGTCATATCTCACTCTAGCTCCTTTCCTGTTATCTAAGTTAATGTAGACACAGGGCTCCTGGTAGACATTAAAATTTAGTAGAAAGAAAGACTCGTTTTTGTTGTTGTTGTTGTTGTTGTTGTTGTTTTTTCTCTCTGAATAGATTGCCATTTTTTCTTAGCTATGGGGTTCCGCTCGCGCGCGAGGAGCTCCGCTATATATTAATTACGGTACGTTACTGGCTCCGATGCTGACAAGTTGTCAATTCTTAAACGAAACGTGAAATGTATAAAGGGGCGTTTTTGAAACAGAGTCGTGGGCGTTTTCTCTTTTCTCCTCCCCTTCCCCTTCCCATTTTTTTTTTCTCGCCTCAACTTTCGCGCGATAACTCGATCGGAAACGCTTGCTACGCACGCGCGGTTTCCATCCTTTGTTTGAACCGAAACGGCTACCTATCCGCTACCCAGTCTAAAGTGACACCTAAATGACTTAAATGTATCATACCCATTTATCCTGATGCCCATGTCACTCCGAAATGAAGACCGTCTTCGGGGTTCTGGCATCTTCACATTTCCTTTTGATGTTCGAAAAACCGACAATAAATGCTCGCACCTGATTGGATGCTCGGTGTAATTTTTCACTCGCCCCAATACAAATGGGCCCACACTTTATCCGACAAAAGGGAGACTGGGCCCGAAGAAAAGCAAGATGGCGGCAGTTTTTGTTCAAGAGAGAAATGCTACATCAATACTCGTTATGTCTGTTTCCAGCTGGTGCGAAGGCCACAGAAGAAGACAAGAGCTGAACGAAACATCGTTTTGCAAGTTTAAGTGCAAAAAATTCCGTAAATTTAGCAGAAAGAGTCTCCTTTCCAGTCGGTCGACTGGCGTCTACAGCCATCAGGAAACTCCGAAATCTATGTTCTCCTGAAGAGCGGAAACTGAAGAGCGATGCCACTGGAAAGGGCTTGAGTATTAAAAGGTAATTTGCTATAGTTTAAAATGTGAATTACGTGTTGTTATACTTCTTCTGAAACGATTGTACACAAGCAAGTCACAGGATGGCCAAGCTCTACAAGTGCATATTCTGACTAGTTTTGGATTAAAGTTCGGGCAAGATTTCCGCTCAATCCCATACATCAATTTGACAATTATGTACACACTTACTGTTGAGAGAAGACAAAATCTAGAACAACAGAAAGCCTTTGGGACTTCCTAAAAAAGGTGAATTGTGAATATGTGGGCTTATAGTTGATCAGGGTCCTTGGGCTGCAATGGTTTATGGCTCTTGCCAGGATTCATGTTTGCATGCTGTTTTTTCACAGGCATCTCAAGCTCACAATACGAGTGTGGAATGTATTTTTCATTCTGTGTTGTTGGTGAGTCAGTAATAGAGAGCTTAAGCATATAGCAATGATGGTGACGTCAACGAGAACAGCAAAAAAGCAATAGGTTTTAGATCGACAAAACAACAACTCTGCACGTGCATCACAATTTTTTGTACATTTCTTTGCCA